TTGCCGAGAGGCCTTTGGGGAAAGCACTAATGTTACTGTCGACTGCACAATTTTAGACACGGGTCACACTTGGCTAAATCAGTATCAATAATTTAACTTGGATTAAATTAAATTATACAAGCCAGTAATTTTGACAAAATGGTTACATTCACTTACGCGCAAATACCTTTGGGAAAGGTATGAATCCATCTATTGTCCCTAAGCTATGGGTTAAATAACAGGACTGACTGGGTCTTGTAGTCTTGGTGTTAACCAGTCTACCGCATAAAGAAATGTCAACCTACCGCGGGAAAATCTTCTGATCGCCCGAGCGTGTATCATGTCTGACATTTAACTAACTGGTTACTCAGCTTCTTTCTCTTAGGATAAGCATTTTCATTTCTCTATAGACTTGTATGATATTTACGAAGCTTATCTTTGTATGGGAAACAGAAATAGGGATATTGTGATAAAATAAGGCTAGAGCGCCCATCTCCCTTGGAAAGCAACTTACAAAAACCTGCTTTTTATCTATATTCTCACATTGATCGCTGGCGTTACTGGAAAATATGTGACTATGAACGGTCATTTTCTTCATTTATTTTTGTAGGTGGTGGGGGTTTTCATTGTCATGAGTAGCGTTATCTTAGTAGCTAATACGAATTCGAGACTAAATCACTTATATACTGTCAATTAATGTTGGCATGAGGATATATAGTTTTGGGAACATTCTTCGAATCTTCTACTCACGACGATTTGTGAGACACTCACTCCTCCCTCTTGGGTGATGTGCTTATATGACTTCCTCTCATCCAGTTGTACTGCACCTGCATATCGTAAACACAGCCGAGTCGACATCCTCTTTACATATCGAAGAAGACACTGCCATACTTTCAGGCACTATTATGGTTACATTCCAGGTCAACTTTCTGATGCCCCGGCGTTTTTGGAGTTCTGGTGTGATAATGAGGGAAAAGTCTATTTTGGAAACTCCTAGGGTGACCCCAGTACACATTGGTGCCACCACAGATAAATTTCTCTTAGAACAAAGTTTTATTTAATCATTTCACTCCAAATAAGGCAGTAATGTCACCAGGACGCAAGCTGGGCGGTTACAGATGATGAAAAAGAATGAGAACATTTTAGTGAAGAAAGGAACAGTATTCAGGATGACAGCTTTAGTCAGGTGGGGTGACAGGACACCCCGAAGAAGATGTCTGTCTCCCACGGCAACTGAGCTACAACTGTGCCATACAGCGTGCTGCACACCCCCACTGAGTCAAGAGAGTAGTGGGAGGGAGGAAAAGAAAGAAGCAGTCAACTAGGAAGTACGAATAATTAAAAAAAAATGGGGTTAATAATACACCCCATGTGATTAACGTAGGTTCGAGCAAAATATCTGGTCAGGAAAATGGCCAAATACATTTTGTGATTCTAACGAAAGCTTTGACTTTAGTAGTCGATGCAGCGACTGGTTCGTTGCCTGTTGAGTTGTTAACAATGAAAGAAAAACGGAAAACCATGAAAAAAATGTCTGAGGGTGTCGGAACAATTGGTCTCAAAAGACTGTTAGAACTGACCGAAGCTGGGAGCTAAGAACGTGGACATTTAATGATCTAGAGAAAAATTCGGTTAAAAGATAGGAATGAACGGATAGATATATATAAAAAAGGAACATACGGGGACGCAAAATAGAGAAAGTGAAAATTAGATATAAATATGCTAAGTTGAACAGACAGACAGATAAATATATGAGAGACAGTGACATAGATATTTTTCAGTGCGCCTTCGTCGCTATCGAATGTGACACAAGGTCAGTTTAAAGTGGGTTTTACGGCAATACCGTGGAAAAAACTGCCCAAGACCCCTCGTCACTTTCCCTTATGGGGGGTGCATCAGGCGCCGGACAATAAACACATCCCACACCATAGATAGATAGATAGATAGATAGATAGATAGATAGATAGATAGATAGATAGATATCAATAGATTGAGGTAGATAGATGGACAGATCTACTATATTGAAATCATTTTTTCAGCATACCTTTCCTGTGAAAAAAAAACAAACTATTTTATGTATATCTAAGACGTTATTCAATGATCAATTGCCGAAATAGCACAAAAAAATCCCTTTGTGTATGGAGATTGCAACAAAGTAATATATAATTTACAGTGTTTAAAAAACAAAGTGCCTACTCCACAAACGCGTGTATTCACTAAAATATAAGGTTTAAAGTAATAAAAGAATATCGGATTGGAATAAAAATTGATTAATTCCTTGCAAATTACTTTGTTAACCTTTCGGATACGAAAATAAGGTTAGAAAATATGGGTTTTTTAGGAGAGCTGAATGCCTTCCTTAAAAATGGGTAATTTAACCCAGCCATGTGGTAAAGCAGGATTTGCATTTGCATGATCGATCTAGAGCACATCGGATCAGACGTTCGTTTCCCCCTAAAAGAGAGACGCGGGTTCGAACCTTGTTGGAAAGTACAACTACATTATTAAGTCTCTCGAATCTACAGACCGGAGGACGTAATTTATGTTTTAAAAAAGATCGTCTACTCAAATTCGTGTATCCACTACATATAATACAGAAAGTAAAATACGCATGCATATATATACCGTAATTCCCCATGTATAATACGCCCTCATCCATAATACGCACCCTCAAAATTGTGCTGAAAGTGTGGGAAAATACTTCTACTCACGCATACACACTCCTTGTTTGGTAATCAAACCCTATAAATTGTACCTCTCCAATTTCATTACGGTCAGAGTTTGCTACTCTTATTAAAACAAATGATAATTCTTATTTTATTTTACATTTGTAAGTATTGTTGGGTATATATGATTGTATTTGACATCCTTATGGGGTCGCAATCACCGAATGTTAGTGTCAAATTGTCGAATGTTTGTGATGGATAGTCATTCCGCAACTGAAATCGAACTATGAAACGGCAATTTTTTAAAGTGTTTTGTAACTGTGCATAATGCACACCCCTGTTTTTGCTTATTTTTTTTTTAGAAAAGATGCGTATTATACATGGGGAATTATGGCATATATATATATATATATATATATATATATATATATATATATATATATATATATATATATATATATATTTGTGTGTGTATAAAAATTCTGATATAAATACAGATATAGTTGTAAAACGACACTGTGAATAAAGGCAAAAAATGAAAAATAGCATCCTCCATAATTTACCTTGACTTTCATAGTTAGCCTAAATGATACTTATGAGCATTCTTAAATTTTAAAAAACTGGAACACCTAGCGATATTTATATTCAGTTTAGAAATATTTGGTACAGAATTAAATCTGCATTTGCCTTGATAAATTCCATTAGAGGACGAAACACGTCGGTAAAGAAAAGTCTTCCTTTTGTCTTTATTCATATATATACATAAATATATGTGTGTGTGTGTGTGTGTGTGTGTGTGTGTGTGTGTGTGTGTGTGTGTGTGTGTGTGTGTGTGTGTGTGTGTGTGTGTGGTTATTATTGTATTTAAATAAATACGCACTCACACCCTGTCGCGTATGTTAATACAGAAACAATTTCCATGTCTTTACTTCGCTCTTCTTCATCAATTTGCTTCCTCGACTGCTTTCATGTATATCCTCGCTAATTTTAAAAAAATATATACCCACCAAATACTGCCTGATTTTGCTTGCCTACACCAAATGAAATTAAAAATATGACGTCCTTATATTTCAAACGTCATCGGGTTAAGATGGCCTCCAGTTCACAAAAAAGAAAGATTTGTGTTTAAATAGATAATTTGCTTGAATGTTGAACAGATAAACGAAAGGCAGTGCCTGTTAGTACTACCCCCAACACTTCCGCTCGGTAGAAGGCAAGTTTGATTGGAGGCCCCGGGTAGTGCTTTGTGACCCTCGCTATCTTATCAGTATTTGCATTTTCTACCTACATTTAGTTATAAATTAAGTTATAAATTAAACTAAGTACAACTGACTATTAAAGAATAAAAAATGATTTTGATGTCATTCTGGGGCTTTTTTTGAGCAAATCCGTGGAATTCGTTTTGGAAATTTTTCATCCTTTAATAGTCACTTGTGCTTAGTTTAATTTGTAATGTATATAAATGCAAGTAGAAAAAATACATGTTGATAAGATTACGAGGGTCGCAAAGCACTGTCCACAACCCCCCTCCCCAGTTGGGGGTGGGTGTGGATTTAGTACGCACCAGCCCTAAAGCAGAGGACTGTGACTTTTGAAAGATTATGTAGCGCAATTGTCTGAAACAGTTTGTCATTTTTACGGATGCCAGTTTTCATAGCTGGATTTCACCAGAACTGGAACACCGACTTATAAGGAAAACGAAAATAGAATCTGTGCAAAGATATAATTCCAATTAAAAATTCTTTCTGGCTTTATGATGAAGGATAGTATTCTTTCTTTCTTTCTTTCCTTTTCTTTTCTTTTCGCAAAGGCATAGGTATTTGTAAAGCAAATGTTTTGAATTCTTACGCCAGTGCAGCCGGCTTATATTGGTTGTGTATCCTTGACAAAGTGTCACATTTTCTGGGTGACTTTATCCTACTTGTCAGTAAAACATTTGCAGAAAGAAAAAGCTGCTTGAGATGTGTCATGACTGTGTGTGCAACGATACGTAACGTCATTGCTATTGGTTGTTCTGTTTGATTGACAAGAAATAAAGGCGGAGCTTAGCTTATATGTAAGTGAGCACTAAAAATACAAAGACAAGGGAAATCAGATGCATTGATCTATGAAGGTTTTTGTTGTTATTTTAAGCATAGCTCCGAGTGCCTTCATAATCTGTATGACAGAACTTCAAAGTTTAATATCAGTTTGCTTTTTTTAATGAATAACAAATAATCTCAAGTGGCTTTAGTGATGGATTAAACAAATTTGACGGCATATGAAAAAAGAATTGCCATTCCAGTTCATATTTGAAGGAACGAATTAAGCGTTTTATACGCCATGAAATTTGACTTTCAATCAATTTTTACTTTTATGTTATTTATTCCTTTCAAACCTTTTTGTCAGCCATTTCACTCTCCTTTTCTCTCTTTCTTACTTTCATTCAACTACTTTTTTTCTTTTATTACGTTTCCAAACATTCTCTAAAATTCTTTCTGTTGTTTACTTTCATTCTTTCTTTCTTTTTTTCTCTTATCTTCAGTCTTTTATCTATACTTTCTCTTATCTTCAGTCTTTTATCTATACTTTCTTTCTTTCTTTTATTTTTCAACTGCTCTTTTGTTGTATTACGTTCTGAAACATTCTCTAAAACTTTCTTTCTTTGTTTTTTTCTTTCAATTCTTTCCCTTACCTTTCTTCTCTGTTGCTTTTATTCAACAACCCCTTACCTGCATTACGTTCTCAAACATTCGTTAATATTCTTTCTTTCTTTGCTGAACAGCTTTTTTTGTATTCAAATATTCTCTCAAAATCTTTCTTTCAACCTTTTTATCAATGTTTTTATTTCTTTCTTTTTTGTTTTCTTTCAATCTCTTTCTTTCAATCTTTTTAGACCTTTTCTTTCTTTACTTTTTTTTCTTTCCTCCTTTATTTATTTGACCAACATCTTTTTACTTTTATTACTTTCTGCAAAATGTTCTAAAATTCATTCTTTCTCAAGACGTTTCTTCATAAACCCTTTTCCTTCTTCTCTGATGAAAATGATTAAAGCCAGAAAGTAATTTTTAAAAATGTCCACAAAGTCCTAACCATTATCAAACATCATCATCATCTACATTTAACCAAGCAGTCTCTTCTCCCACTTCTGCGTTTCTGATGATGGTGGTTCACATCGTCAGAAATGACCATAAAAATAGTCCTCAAGAAAAACATCCTTTCACCACTACTAGCCGACGAGATTCGAGACAGCTGATGACATCTATTTTCGAAGATGATCTCACGTTACACAGGTTAAAGAATTTCGGTTCTCAGGGGCAGCACTTGCTGAGGGAGAAAGGGAAATCATGAACATATTGCCTGTGAAGATTCGCTGATGAATATAAATACCGATTGCATTTTGAAGTAACTGTGTGACATTGGGGGTTAGACGATGCGTTTCTGCGATTTGGGAGAATAAATACAACGCAAATATATATTTTGAGAAGACAGGGCAAGTCGAAATATGCACACACGCACGCACACACAATATAGAAATACACAATATTTTATAAATATATTACACATCTCTTTCGCTCTCTCTTTGACTCTTTCTTTCTTTCCCCCTCTCTCTTTCTCCCATTCTCTCTATATATATTGTTTAAATTTGCTATATTTATAGTGGCCAAATGCTTAATATCGGAGATAGTCTGTTTATAGATATAGACAGTGCAGAAATTCCGATTCAAAATTGGATGTTGTCTGAAAGTTTAACGATTCAATGCAATCTTCAGAACAAGTAATATATATATATATATATATATATATATATATATATATATATATAGAGAGAGAGAGAGAGAGAGAGATATTAGAGACTAAGGTCATCACAAAGTTGCGATAGTCTGTTTCATGCTTAAACGCTTTCTTCCTGGCCTGATGATTGTGTCCAAGGGTGAAACACATTGGTGTACATCTCAGTGACCACTATTATATTTACATACACTCTATCTCTGATATTCATCACTTTTACCCATAAATATAGCATACCTTGAAACTATATTTTATCACAAACACACACACACACACACACACACACACACACACATATATATATATATATATATATATATATATATATATATATATATATATATATATATATATATATAAAAGTGGAGATTTTAAAATGGTTATTTCATATATATTTGCTTACCGGCTATCACATGAAGCACCGGTTCTCGTAGGTTCACTGAAGTTAAGCAAAGACGAGCAAGTCAATACTAGCTGCTTGGGAATGTCAGGTATTGTAAGCCTGGATGTGCGGGTGGTTCAATGGATAACGGCTCGGAAAAAAAAAAACATCGGGGTGCCGAGCTCTAATTCCAGACGGATACATTATATTTACTTACGGGCAAATACCATCGAGAAAGGTATGATTTCAACTCTTATCGAAAATTAGTTGATGTCGGCAAAACATCGTTAACTTCTGTCTATGGTTTAATAACTTTTCATTATTTAGAAACTTAATGATGTGTAGTTTTTCGTGTAGGCATAAGAACTTGTAAAACCTGGGATGACCCATGCCCTTTATGCCTAATTTTCGCATTAAATAATTAGCATAAAAAAATAGACAAATAAATAAATTCCATAGTTTAATAAAAGTCTTAAAAGCTTAACCAAATCATTAAATAGAAAAAACCCTTTGTGAAGTCGTCAAAAAATAAATTGTAGTTCAGTGCAACATGTTTGTATACGGAACAGCCATTTGAATAAACAAATAAATAAAGAGATTAACAGATAGATAATAATAACAAAGTCCTCTCGACACTTAACGACTTGTCGTTGCGCATGAAATATTCCTTCGCTGTAAACTAACTAGACGGTGACCACCACCATTGGCTTTGAAATAGATACCCCACTTTACCTTGGCATAACCTTTCCGAAGGTGATGAATCTATAGATAAGAATTAACTGTCTGACCACCTAACCAAGATGGCCGGACCAGCCGTTTCCATAGTAATTAATGTTGCAATGGACCATACTTATAAACACGTGCAAACCACAAGATAGCTTATTCCTAAATTTTCGCTTGAGGATGAAACGGGACCCAACAACTTGATTCAACTTAATTTTAATAATTATATTGATGGTTTCGGCTCTCGTTTTTGAAACTTGAGAACTCTTATGTAGCGAAGGAATCATATTTTTAAAAAAAATTATAATATATATATATATATATATATCGGGTGTAACAGCAAAATTGTCAGATTGTTAGATTAAGCTTTGAACCGTTCTATGTTAGAAATGATAGAATATATCTTACTGCAATTCTCCGAGGTTTGTATAACACTATTGGAATCTACTTTAAACAATATAATGTATAATTACTGTTCAAGCTTAACAGAAGAATCGTGATGAAATCGATCATAAACAAAAATGACATGTTCACCATTAATTAATCATAGCTATGGGTCGGAAGTTCATATATTATTCCAGGATCATTTTCCAACTTATTCAGTATGATTTTCATCCTCTCTAACCTGCTAACATTCTGTCCTGAAGTAACAAGGTGCTTCACATGTTACACGTGTACGATTTCATTTGCAAGTCTTTTTTCACTGCTCTTTGGATTGTCATGGCTGAAATTCCTCTCCCACGTGCCAAACGTCTTATGCATTGAGTTGGTAATTTTCTAATTCATCTCTTTAGGTCAAAGTTGAAATGATGATCCCTCTTCCTGCTGTGACCTCCTGATTCAGTTTTCCGCTCTACTGTGCCTTCTTTTTTTAATTTATTAACTGTTCTCTTGGTCGTTCTTGAATAAACTTTGAAAATGGAAGCCAGACTATGAATGTTGGTAACATTACTGAAGGACTGAACGATGTTTGTCCTTTCATCATTGTTTAGTTTGGAAGACAGTGGGTCTAACACAAAACAATTATAGCCTACACTCTTTTGTGCTGAATAACTCAAAGGGTAATAGTGCCAAACGTCTTATCTGAAAACCTGTGAAAAAGAAACTCAATTAGTTTAGTGTTTTTTTTTAGATATTAAAGATTTTGATAGATGGATAATTATGCTGTTACATGATTTGAACAATTTTGCTGTTACACCCGATATATATATAACTGTTGACGTGGGAATGTGCCTATATTGCTTGCAGTTAGTGTTTTAAGTTCATTTATTTGTTGACAACTTCTTTCATTTGTCATGTCGTCTTAGAATAGTTTTCTGTTTTTTTTTTCCTAAGTAACCATTGCGTTGGTTCTTCCTGAAGTTGTCTTTGACGTCCTTCCTCCACCATTCCTTTACTTAGACTCGTTAATTAGTTTACTCGCTCTTTCTTCCTGCTTCTTATACTTTCATTATAAGTCTCCATTATCAACCTTCTTTTCTTATTATGTTTCCAAAATATTTATTTGTCACTGAGGTTTTTTTTTTTTTTTTTTGTTACCAGAAGTGTTTCTTCTATTTTCTTTAAACCTTCCTCGTTTCTAACATGTTCTGTCTATAATATTACCAGCATTCGTCGGTCATACCTCTGTCGGTTGAAACTTCTTCTCCATCTGTGAGGAAATTACCAAACATTCAATTCTATGTAGAAGATTTGATATTGCATAACAGTTCTTCCGCATTCCTTGATTCTGGGGACAACAAATTCTTAATCTGTTAATACTTAGTTTCTTGTGCTTCTTCGGATTCCTATGATCCCTTTTTCATTATTAGTCAGATAGTTACATTTCCACGCCTACTTGTTTTTGAAGACCCCGATATGTAATTTGCAACTTGGGTCGCCCCTTTTACTGACGACCACGCATTCTGTTTTCTGAGAGTTAATGGTTAACCCTCATTTATTACTTTAAATAAACCGGTAGAACTTATTTAATCTTCTTTGTTTTAATATTAGTTTGATATAAAATAGAAAAAGAGTTGGACAGGAGAGAGAGAGAGAGAGAGAGAGAGGGAGAGAGAGAGAGAGGGAGAGAGAGAGAAAGGGATAAATTTATACCAAACGTATATTGCAGATTTTATAAGTATAAAAATTGTCAGAAAGGTAGATCTTGTTAATCATCTCGATGTGAGAAAAGACATTTTATACTATTGTTTACGCAATACAAGGCCCAAGAGTCACTCAAGGTAAGGAGTTACTGAATGAGATTTTAAAGAGAAGAAAGTGCATATTATAAGAATATGTAGGATAGACAACGGTTGACTTTAGACTCGAAGAGGTTAATATTTTAGCAATCAGGAAGCATTCCCTCAAGAGTCTATTCCCCAAAGTAACAGTTCTGAAAAAGAAGCTTTCTGAGGGGAACTTCTTCCTTATTAATGGAATACGAAGGGAATGACGGTGATTAAAATCTGCGTACGTGACATGGCAGGTCCTAGCTGTGAATGTCTGGACTGGTGGAACTAAAGAATATGAAAATAGCGAGAGGCTCGCAGTGTTCCGTCTTTGGAAAATCGACTTTAGGATGAAAAATAATTCATCAACCACATGGCAGCAGAAACAGTTATATACTGACTCAAAAAAAAAAAAAAAAAGAAAAAACAAGAAACGAAAGTCGTTGCTTTAACCACACCTCCAACTCTTGACAGGGTTATCAGTGTTTAGCGTTGAAGCAATTACCTCAGCAGCCCTGACCCGATGGAAGACTAGCTCAGATATTCGTCAAGGTCATCTGTGTGAGACGTTTACTGAAATACGCAATGCCGCTTCAATTGTTCGAACGGATGATATCAGTTTTCGCAAAGCAAAACATGAATCTCATTTATAATTTAAAAAGTAAGAAAAATATATTGGTGCGTTATTTACTCGTACACATGTACCGTCAAAAAATGCTATCATATTTAATCATCGCTTAAGAAGTTAAATTGAGTGATCATGCAGTATTGATTTCAATCAGCACACACACACACTCATATATATATATATATATATATATATATATATATATATATATATATATATAACAGTGCTCGATGTAAAATAACAGCTAAAATTTATAAGAATAACAAATACAAATTTATATTCCTCACTGTTTGGCACAATACTAATTTTCAGTAAAATTTGTACCA